GTAAACAAGTATTTGCGAGGAATACCTTTATATGATCATTATAGTTATTAAAGAATAAGAGAATAAATGAAAAACGGGTATGAAATACTATAGGACAGTAACACAAGAATACAGTTAAAAAGGGGAGTGATTAGTAAAATATCCATAAAGAAAAAGTAAATCTGTGTACAGTTCTGTGTCATATGGATGCTGAGAGATGTAGGCTAACCATAGATCTCTTCATTTTGCTCTCAAAGTGCACCAGATTGATGCATTTAACTTCAATATTTTAAAAATAATCTTCCCGGGGGAGCATGCCCCCGGACCCTCCTAGAGGAGGTTAGGTCCACCCCCACCTAAAACATGTTCACATGGATAGGATACTAAATATATTTGCACACTTTTTATATGGTGGCCTATGTCCATATGTTTCTGTTTTGGTGGTCGTGCCACAACCGTGCATGTATGCACAAGTCATAGGTGCGCTATACACAATAGCACTACACCCCTGCAATGTGTGTGAAATACACAGCATGTTTTTTTTAATTGAAGTTGCGTTGGTGTTTGTGTGTTGGTTGTTGACGGCAGTGTGTGCCCCCCCTTGGTAAATGATTGCCCCCCCATTCGATTTGTTCTGGAGCCGACCCTGCCTCAGACACTGTTTCCTGCAAGATGTTGCGGTAGGGGCCCGGTACCGGGGTCTCTCGGGCTTAACAGGTTAAGCTATCCAAAAAAGTCAGTAAATGTTTTTGTTTTTTTAAAAGACTACATTTACATAGTCAAAAGGTCCTTTTGTTCAGCCTCACAATGCTATTGGGTAGTAAATGTGTTTACAGGTCCTGCCCTCTGGAGCATACAGTCACACAACCAGGGGCGCCGCCAGGGATTTTGGGCCCCATGAAAATATATCACATTGGGCCCCACCACTAGGCACAGGCCACGCCAACCAAGCACAATTGCTGTAACCACACCTCCAGAACCCAACCGACTCAGTTATGTTTTAAATAACTCTACCTGTACAGGCTTGCATCTATCTTGTAGTCCAATACTAACTGCACAATATTTACTGACACTGAGCTGTGAAAATATAACACTGTGCAGACGTGGAACATTCTGCTGCAGTAGAATTCACTATTTGATATAAGACTAACATTCCTGACAATAGATCTCAATAGTCATATTTTATGGTGTACATGGCTTTTTAATAATAACTTTTTTGAATGGAACATTCTCAACATGAATGCATCAATCCAAATAAATATAACTTAAATATGTGGAAAAATACTGTGTATGAAATGTATAATTTAAATTAGATGTTAGCTTTTTGTTTTGATATATATATATTTGTATTCCAGTCTCGCTTCAGATATGTTAAGTGGCATTCAACACAATGCTGCTCACCTCCTTCAGTTGGGAGAAAAGCTGGTTCAGGTTCAGCATTATGGGGGGACAGGGCTGCTGAGCCTAAAGATATATCTGTTGGATCTTGCACCAGGGGGAGGGACAACTGATTTAGTATGAATAGCTGCTAAAAATGTACCTGCATTTGTTAAATGTCAGCTAAAAGAGCAGTGAAATTAAAAACCTCTGCATTTTCTTTATAGATATTAACAGTACTTAACATTTAACCCAGCTTAGTAAAAAAAAAAACATAAAAAGTATTATTTACAATGGACTATGCTTAGCTAACAGACTAATTTCCACCACTCATGGACCACACCCACCTTTTCTTTTGAAAAACTGTCGCCCTTTAGTCCCTCTCTCTTATCTTTCTCTCCTTTCTTTTCTTTCTTGAAAGCCTGACTTTGTTAGTCGTTGAGACATCGTACACACGTAAGTACTAGCATCCCTAATCACATGCTCTCACTCTCTGCTAGAAAGTGCCGTTTGGAGGCGGAGGCAGGACCAAACCATTACATGTAAATAGAAGGGGGTGTACAGAGGCTTTGGATAATTAACTTTTGGAAGAAAATAAGTTAAATTAATTGTAAGTTTAGTGAGTACATTATCAATATAATGTTCTATTAATGTTAATTATTAATGAATGATGAAAGGTTACTTAACTTTTTTTTTCTTAATGTTCTAAATTAGTTTGGGCCCCCGTGGTGAGGGTGTTTGGGGTGGCCAATAGGGTTGCCAGGATTCAGCTGGGGATGGCCACGGCCGCCCCCCAGCTTCGCCACTGCGTCATCCAAGCCCCCAGGAAGTGCGCCGGAGTCTGATGAGAATATTCGTGCTGGTCAAACGGCGATACTACACTTCCTTTAGGTTGCTGGGCCCGGAAACACTTTTTCCCATTGACTTACATTGGGAAAGAGTGGTCTGTAACTCGTTGGATAATTTTTTACTAACTAAATAAACTACCCAGTATGAACATTTGTATAGCCCTTATTAAAAACATTCGTTCCTCAAGTTGTAAAAATGTGCTAATAACGTTATTCTGAGAGTTATTTCCCTCTGCATTATGAACGCGCATCTAACCCACGGGACCGCGCCGCCCGGCACGTTCATGTTACGTGTTCAGTACTACATGAGTTTCTCTTTACCCATGGATGCACAATAACAACGGACCCATATCGCCTTACTGCCAGCCCACGGAGCTGTAACAATGGATATATTCAGTGGCGTTTTTATATGTACAAAAGTGGTGGGGCACAACAAACTTAGATGTCTATAAGCTTCTGCAGTGAGGTTCATGGCTGGTGAGGCACTGGCACTGACTCTTCAGGTTTACAAATATTATATTTTGACCTAAATCAAAATATAAATTATTTTCAAAAGCTTTTTTTGTCTGATGCTTCAATTAATTTTAAACAGACAGTTCAACAGAAGAATACCCAACATTTTTAATTTTATCATTTAAATATTTAATTGTTCTCTCTTAGTAAGATCCCATTTTCAATAAAATTGCAGTCTTACCTTGACTTGAAGATGAAGTCCATTTGCCTATCCTTCTGGACAAAAATCTCTATTACTTTTTTGTAAAAGTCCTCCTTATGTTCTTGTAGTTTCAAAAGTCTATCATAAATCTAATCTAATCAATAGATTTATGATTCAAAATTATAAAAGTAGGGTAGACATGTGGATATTATCCGGCTGAACAAAACGTGCATTTATCTAACAGGTTTGTTTCCCACAGATCTTATTTGGAGCTATTTTCTAAAATCCTATGGAGAAATCTCATTGCTTTTTTGTCGAGGGAAGCCATGCGCAGCTTACTTCCGGGTTTTAGGATGCGTCACTGCAGCTCTCTCGTCTCCTCTTCACACACCACACTTTTCGCGGCACACGTACTTACAGCCAATCAGCTCTGAATGATGTGAGATGACATATGGTGGGGATGGCAGCACTATGCCCCTATGCTCATTATTTTTTTGCCACACACATTAAATAGGAAAATATTCTGAGCATGCGCAGTGTAGTTTTTACAGTCACCGTTCACTTAGACAGTGAGAGGGAGGGTCAGGATCGGGTTTTGTCCCACATGACTCTAAACAGCTCAATAGGCACACACTGTAGACACTAATTAGAAGAACACAGACTAAAACAGCAATGTACAGACGAATCAGATGATTAAACATGATCTTAAAATATATTTTATATATTTTTTAATTTATTCTTTGCATTTTTTTGTAATCATTATTTTTAATACTTTCTGCTGACACTAGGTGGGGCTGTGCCACTGGATATATTGCACATGTTTGCTGTTATTCATCATTTGTAAAATATTATACTACATGGGCTGTATGATGTAAATCTTGTACCGTAAATGTTGTATTAAATAAAGTTAATATTACCGACGTAGATTAACGTTCCTGTAGCTTCTTATTGCACTTGCAATTGTTTTAGTTACTTGTGGGCTACTTAACATGAATAATCACAGTTACTATCCTTTTACTCCATCACATTTAAAAAAGAAATAGGCTATTGTTATTTTAACTCCACCACAGTAATCCATCATCAGCTTTACTTTTTAGATAAAGTTTTAACTCACAATTGATCATAACAGGCTTCAACATATACATTTTTAATATATTACCAAGTGGTTTCATGTACAACCAACACAAGTATCATGCTAAATGAAGCTCTGTTTCTTGGATATCACTAGATCCTGATGTCAGCGTAATATAAAAGTACATAACGATTGATGTGTAACTTAGCATAATTTACTAGCTAGCCGCTAGCTGCTAACTGCCGCCTCGTTAATATAAATCCAGTACCATGCTGTCATGAACGTGCGGTGCTGTTACGTGTACGCAAATTCACGTGCTTAATGTGAACGAGCCTTTTGGGCGGCGTGGTTAAAGTTGCGCATGCTCTATGAGCGCACATACGGGTACTTCTCAGGCATGCTGGGTAATCTGTGACGTTTCGCTCTCTCAAAAGTTGGGCCATTTTGTCATCATGCGCCATTGAGCAACTCTCATAGGAATGAATGAGGCCCCGCCTCCCACGCTGTATCCAGTTCTTATTATACATCCATGGCGTCAACGGCCCGCTGGCGAACGGCTCGGTTCACTGACGACCGGACATACTGTGATTCTCCAGAACACACAGTTGGCCGGTCTGCCCCTGTGTAGCATATTATTTTCCATTACAGATGAGCAGATGGGCTTTCAACTAAAGACACAGCCACGCAAAAACTGCGGCATGTACAGCTCCTTATGCTGCAATGTGTGAAGTGCATGGCTTCCCTCTGCAGGGGGAGACGTGCTCTGCCGGCGGTCTCGTTCAGGATCCGAAAATACAATTTAAATATTTTGCACACTTATTCCTAGTGTGCCACTGGTTACGGTGCCGCGTGTCAATGGTGGCACGCGTGCCAGGGGTTGCCGACCCCTGATCTAGATTGAATGTTGAATTAAATCACTTTTGCATAAGGGTCATGATGCAACATGTGCAGAAGCTCCTAGCAGAAGGCATCATCAGAATCAGCTAGAACATATTATATTGTGCCTGAATCTTAAACAATGTGTCATCTCTAATGAAACACACACGCACACACACACATACACACTCACCTTGCCCAGGGCGGTGTACTCCACAGCGATCTCACTGAGGAAGAAGTATACGTAGTTACCGTAGTCGATGGCATGCAGAAAGTGAGGCTCTGAAGAGAGATGGAGATGATGAATTATTCCTGTTTTTAAGGTAAAGCTCTCCTGATATCACATGATATCATGTTCAACAAGTTCCAGCAGTCTTGTTACCTTCATCGTCCACTCTACCCTGAACGGCGAGAGGAAATATGGACTAATTGATTGTATAATAATAATAAGAAGAAGAAGAAGAAGAAGAAGAAGAAGAAGAAGAAGAAAAAGAAGAAGAAGAAGAAGAAGAAGAAGAAGAAGAAGAAGAAGAACAGCAATAAACGAATCACAGCCTCCATCTCCGCCCATCCTCCTCACGACAGACCGATCCAGCCTCAACTCTACCTCCTCACTCTCCGCCTCACTCCCCACTCCCCTCCGCCTCCTCCGTCCTCCTCCCCTCCTCCTCCTCCTCCTCCTCCCCTCCTCCTCCCTCTCCCCTCCTCCTCCTCCTCCTCCTCCTCCCCCTCCTCCTCCTCCTCCTCCTACCTCCTCCTCCTCCTCCTCCTCCTCCTCCTCCTCCTCCTCCTCCTCCGACGAAGTCATCAGCTCCGAAGAAATTGTAATTGTGGTTAAATAACATTGTCTGCTGCATTTATTTGGTCAATTTAAACGGTAAGTAACGTTATTATGTCAGTTGTGCGTGACGTGGATATCTGTATTCTCAAGATCCATACATTTGTTATCAATAAATCCATTTGATCAACATTTTGATATTTCACTGTTCTAATCCAGAGCCTGCTCCTGTGGAGAATAAAAAGGTATGGTTAAGTGATGTATCTAAAGAAACATCACAATGTCCACTTACATTGTGCTATGTCGATGATACACAGGTCTACATTTCCACCAAACCCAACATTGCCACCACCACCCCCCCCCCCCCCCCACACACACAGGCCCGGTTCCAGAACAAAATGACTCAGGGTGCATCTGAGATTAGAGAGGGTGCAGTGGTAAAGTGCTATTTTTATAAGTGGGGAGTGGACCTAACACCCTATAGGGGGGTCCTCACCTCCTCTAGGGGGGTCCGGGGGCATGCTCCCCCGGGAGTTAAAAGCATCAATCTGGTGCACTCTGAGAGCAACATGAAGAGATCTATGGATCTATGTGCTTTTTGCTTGATTCATGCCTTCCCAGTCCCTTATCACGTAGCCTATAAGAGCATGGCGCCAGTTGTTGTAGCCAGTTGTGGTGAAGGCATCTGACTTACTTGAACTGAAATGTCTACATGCATAGCAAAAGATGGCATCTTTTCTACATGAATATTCCAGCCAATCTGTGTTTTGAAACCATGAGCTGCAAAATAAGCACCTTACCCCACTGTACAGGCGAGTTGGGAACTTGTTTAAATATACCTGGACAGGCTCTGTTTTGCCGAGGTCCTCTGGCACTTGCGGGCCGCCGAGGGGTGGCGGTGTTTGGGGCAAGGAAGAAGGCTGCTCCGCCTCCGTGGGCGAGGCGGGCAAAGCCGGCGAGTCGGGCGTTATTGTCCACGACAGTGGCCGCGGGTAACGTAATGTCCCCATGATCTGAACTGTTATTACCTGCAGTAGATGCAGTGTTACTGCTGGCGATTAGGGCTGGTTGTTTTAACCATTGTCTGATGTCCATCACTGACTGCTTTGTAAGCACCTTGCAGATGACGAACGCGCAGCGGCACAGGTCACGCGCACCTGACATAATAACGTTACTTACCGTTTAAATTGACCAAATAAATGCAGCAGACAATGTTATTTAACCACAATTACAATTTATTTTATTTCAACTAAATTATTATTATTATTATTATTATTATTATTATTATTATTATATATGTCATATTTTTCACTTTAAATTTTTTGTTTTACTTTAATTATTATTATTTTTTTCACTTTTCATTTTTCATTTTTCAAATGAGGGTGCATAACGACTCAACTGAGGGTGCAATGCACCCTTATGCACCCCCGTAGAACCAGGCCTGCCCCCCCACCTCTCACCAACTGCCTCCAGGACATCAGGAGCTGGATGAGCAGGATCTTCCTGTAACTCAATGGCTGCAAAACAGAGGCCCTGCTCATTGGCTCAAAATCCAACCTCTCCAAAGCTCCACCCTCCCCTGCTTCCAACCTCATCATTGATGGTTTCTCTGTTCCCTTAAGAGCCTTGGTGTCATCCAGGACAGCTCCCTCTCCTTTGCACCTCACATCAGGGTCGGCGTCATGGGGGGTCATTGACGGGCCATGCCCCCCCAAATGAGTCACTGTCCCCCCCCAACGCAGGGCGGGCAAGCCTTGCCACTTTGCCGTTTTTTTAAATCATATAAGTGAAAACGTTTCCACTAAAAGTTGTTTGTGTGAAATAAATCAGAAATGTCATTTCATTTCATTTCAAACCTTTATTTATACAGATAAATCCCATTGAGATCATTGATCTCTTTTCCAAGGGAGACCTGCTCAAGTAGTTCCACATGAAACATAAAAACATAAATAGAAATAAAGAATACAAATATAAAACACAGCCTGAGGTGTGCTCACTGCTGCTCTCTGATTGGTGTGTTGCTTGACCAATGACCCCCGACCTTTGTTTTGTTGTCATTACGTGGCTGTGTGTTTAAATGAAAGCCCAGTGGCAATCTGTTCATCTGTTACACTGATTATACAGTAAAGCCATCGAAAATAATATGATATACATACAAGTACTTCTGGGTCTCTGTGTTTCATTCAAGCTCGGCTCTGTGTGTGTGGCACGAGCGCATTTTGTGAGTGCACGAGCGGTAAAGTGGAATGTTGTTGTTAGCATCTGGTTAGCTGCTATGCTAACGGATATAAAGAGCTGTTTCTACACCAAGGTGGAGGAGAGTCCTCTCCTGTCAGACTGAGAGGATCTTATAACCTCAGCTCAGTGAGGTAAGGACTCTCTCAGTGTTTAGATAGTTCACTTTAGTGTAGGTTATCTCAGTGGGTCTCAAACGGTTTGGTCACCATTTATGTAAACAAGTATTTGCGAGGAACACCTTTATATGATCATTATAGTTATTAAAGAACAAGAGCATAAATGAAAAACAGGTATGAAATATTATAGGACAGTAATACAAGAATACAGTTAAAAAGGGGAGTGATTAGTAAAATATCCATAAAGAAAAATAAATCTGTTTACAGTTCTGTTTCATATGGGTGTTGAGAGTATGTATCCATAGATCTCTTAATTTTGCTCTCAAAGTGCACCAGATTGATGCATTTAATCTTTTTAAAATCTCCTAGAGGAGGTTAGGTCCACCCCCCACCCACCATGTTCACATGGATAGGATACTAAATACATTTGCACACTTTTTATATGGTGGCCTATGTCCATATGTTTCTGTTTTGGTGGTCGTGCCACAACCGTGCATGTATGCACAAGTCATGGTGCGCTATAAATGCAATGTGTGTGAAAGACAATAGACTTTACAGCATGTTTTTTTAAATTGAAGTTGCGTTGGTGTTTGTGTGTTGGTTGTTGACGGCAGTGTGTGCCCCCCTGTGGTAAATGATTTGCCCCGCATTCGATTTGTTCTAGAGCCGACCCTGCCTCACATAAATAACATCTCTGGACTCCGCCACTGAAGTCCTGGTTCACGAATTCGTCACATCCCACATCCACTACTGTAATGCCATCCTCTCAGGCATTCCCACCAAACTTATCAATAAACTTCAAAAACCATCTCTGTCTACAAAGAGCCAGACTCCCAGCTCCAGGGGGCCAACACTGGGCAAACCACCAGAACATTTTCTTTAACAGATTTGACAAGTCGGCCGGTGGCGCTGACATCACAGCTGATGAAGACCCTGGAGAGGCTGGACACCTTCGGCCCCTTGTGAGACCATTGATTGACCCGCTGCAGTTCGCCTACCGCCCTGACATCAGGGTGGTGCTGAAGTCCCTCTCCCACCTGGAGAAGGCAGTGAGCACTGTGAGGATCTTGTTCTTTGATTCTCCAGTGCCTTCAACACCATCCAGCCTCTGCTCCCAAGATGCAGCTCTCGGGGTGGATCCTGGACCTCACCAACCGTCTACAGTACGTGAGGACCCGGGAGTGTCAATCAGACACCATCATCCGCAGTACGGGGGCCCCCCAGGGGACAGTTCTGGACCATTTCTCTTCACCCTCTACACTGCAGACATAACCCTCTTCACTGCAACCTGTCACCTGCAAAAGTTCTCTGACGGCTCTGCCATCGTTGGCCTCATCACCAATGAGGCCGACAGGGAGTACAGGGAGCTGACGCAGGACTTCCCCCTCTGGTGCCAGAGAAACCCCCTGCAGCTCAACGCAGGGAAGACCAAGGAGCTGGTGGTGGACTTCAGACGGCCCCAACACTCCCCCCCCACACCAGTGAACAACCAGGGAGCTGACATTGAGATTGTGGAATCGTACAAATACCTGGGTGTTCATCTGAACAATAAACTGGACTGGACTGATAATTCTGCTGCTCTGTACAAGAAGGGACAGAGCAGACTCTATCTGCTGAGGAGACTGAGGTCTGTTGGGGAGCTGGGGGCCCTCCTTCAGATCTTCTATGACTCTGGAGGCATCACCCATCTGTTATGGTGTGGCCTGCTGAGGCAGCAGCATCTTGGCTGCTGACAGGAAGAGACTGAACAGACTGGTATGGAAGACCAGCTCTGTCCTGGGGGGTCCTCCGGACACTGTTGAGGTGGTGGGAGACAGGAGAATGGCAGCCAAGCTGCAACGTGTCCCCCTCCTCCAGGACACCCTGTCCTCACTGTGCAGCACCTTTAGTGACATATTTCTGCAACCGCAGTGTTTCACGGAGAGATGCCGCAGGTCCTTCCTTCCTGCAGCAGTTAGACTGTCCAACCACCAGTCCCCCTGGTAGACCCCCACACAATACAGACTGTGCAACTTGTGCAACAAAATGGCAATGTGCAATATAGACACTTGTCTTGAAATACTGTGCAATAATCACCTTTCTGTGGAAACCATCATCATAAGGAATGTCCCAACAGTTCTTTTTTTTGATATAATGTCCCAGCACCTTACATTATATATGTCACTAAGCTCTGAAGTTGCTGCGCATCATTCTTAGCCACGGATTTGTACTTACCCACTTATTTGTCTTTATTTGTATTCTAATATAACTAATGTGTACTTTTCTGTATTGTTGGATGCCTTTTTTCTTTTACCTGCTTTGCCACTTTTGCTGTAACACTGTTAATTACCCAGCTGTGGAAATAGTAAAGGATTTTTGATTCTGATACAAATCATACAGAAGTCTGAAGCCCGGATCATCAACTGCATCAAATCCTCTGAATACATCACCCCCATCCTCATCCAACTGCTCTGGCCCGGATCAACTACAAAAAACTCCCCTCACCTGCACCTACAGTACCTACCTGGTCCAAAATAACCAAACCCTGTGACTCACCTCGGAGCCACTTGGAGTCGTACTTGACGGTCCTGAGGACGGGCCGGCCATCCCCAAGGCTGCGGTAGATGACGGCGTCGCTGGCCAGGAAGTCCGTCATGGTGGCCGAGTAGAAGTCTCCGCCTGAGCAACAGCTGCAGTTTAATGTTCATGCTGAGAACTATTCTGACATAATAAAATTAAGGAATTTCTTTGTTTTCCCATATACTAATATGAATTCAACCAAAATATTTAGCTTTGTGTATGATTGTGCATGACATTGTCATTTTTCTGAAAACGTGTTGTCGAAGATTTGTTCTGGTCTGCAGTAATTTGGAACTATGTACATACTCCCCAGTCTTGTTGAGTTTTGTTGTTAAGGATTTGTAATGCTGTACTGTAAATACCTATATGAAAAATCCTTTAAATCACTAATGAACTCCATCTTTTATATCTGAATATACCTGTACCCAAAAGTGCAAAATACCAGAAAAGCACTCAGTCATGAGTTTTTTCAGACAGTCACTTTGGACTAACCTGCAAACAGTCCCACATTGGACTGCCCAGACTCAAAGGGACAGCGGGCCTGACCCACCACTTCCTCCCCCACCTGCTCCAGGGACGCCATCTGACAGGAGAGAGGAATGCATCACAAAATAAACAGTCATGAGTTAAAATGTAGAATTGGTCATGGATACCAATTTGAATTTGAAAGCCATACCAAAATTATGAGGGAAAAAAAAGATATCCAGTGGAGGAAATAAGTATTTGATCCCTTGCCGATTTAGTAAGTTTACCCACTTACAAATAAATTAACAGTCTATAATTGTAAAGGTAGGTTTATTTGACTAATGAGAGACAGCATATTGAGAAATGTACATCATATAAGAGATACAAAATTATTTATTTATTTTAATTATTTGATCCCCTTGCAACCAACAAGAATTCTGGCTCCCACTGGCCAGTTACATAAGTCCTCTTCCTTTAAAAAAGTACTCCTAATATGAATTTGTTACCTGTATAAAAGACACCTGTCCACAGAATCAATCAATCAGGTTCCAACCTCTCCACCATGGGCAAGACTAGTCCCCCTTTCCACCAAACCGGTTCCAGGGCCAGAAAACGGCGTATGCCACAATAGGATAGCAACAAGTAGTCAAAATAGTCAGATTAGCATTGGTTGCTATGCTAACATCACCCATTTTATACCAGAGAAACTTTCACCACAGCGTCTGGCAGCACACCCGACCCCATCGCTGTTTCCCGTACGTGGTGGGCCCGCGGGACAGAGAAGCGGAGGTGTTGCCCACGTTGCCTTTTTGGGCTGTGCCTGGCCGGGTTCCGTGGCAAGCCCGGCCACCAGACGCTCGCCGACAAGTCCTCCTTCTGGGCCCGGCTCCAGAAGAGGACCCCGGGCTTCCTCCGGGATCCTCACTTCGTGTGTCGTCTTTCATGAGGTCTTTTGAACCAATCTTAGTCTGGCCCCTTGCCTGAGACCAATTTGCCATGGGAGACCCTACCAGGAACACAAGGTTCCAGACAACACAGCCCCCAGGTTCATCAGGGCACACAAAACTCTCTAGCACGGTAAGGTGCTGGTACTTCAGAGAGGAAGAACTTATTTCCTACAGTTAAATGCAAATCCATTTTTATCTTTTATATAATATCAATTTCTGGATTTTCTTTTTGATATTCTTAATATCACTGTTAAAATAGACCTACCATTACAATTATGGACTGTTCATTTATTTGTAAGTAGGCACATTTACAAAATCTGCAAGGGATCAAATGCTTATTTCCTTTACTGTATCATTAATTTAGACATATTAGGAACTTGTTAACAATAGAAGCATCAAAAACATATTTGCACGCTAGGATTTTCTAACATCTTCATTATGGAACAACCTGCTGATCCCAGGCCAGTAACATTACAACAGCGTTTCTCAACGTGTGGGGCGATATCACAGAGATGTGATAGGTGGGTCACGAAATACAAAATGTAAAAACATTTATTTTTTTAATAATTCTTTTTTTTTTTTTTCACACTGGTGGAATATCAAAACAATGGCCCGCCCGGGGTGCAAAACGCATCAATGAAAGCGACCCTCTACCACACAAAACAACACCTGTAAATAACCCAATTTGTGTTCTTTGAAATTGAAAAGGATATTGCATTGTGTTTGTTACTTTCGTTGCAGTTATATGTCTTAAGTGTCATTTGGCATGCTTTTATTTTGAAGGCGAGTTTCCGCTGTTGACAGTTGTTGTTGCTATGGAAACAAGAAACGTTTCACAGCGGGCGGAAGTTGTCATAAAGTCCGCGATAATAAAGCCCACCCATTTAGAGGGAAGATATGATTGGTCAATTGTACTGTCATTTGACATTACTCTCTCGTTCAGTTACTATAGCTGGCCCTCTGTGAATTCATAGCTGTACGTCCAATCAGCTCCTATCTTCACCTCGCAGAGACGAGCGTCTTTCATTTAACCCTTCACATTCAAACAGAAACTGAATAGGCAGATTCAAAGGATTTATTTCTTTGGAAATGTTATTTTAAATACAATTTAATCAAGTTATTATTTGTAAAACTAATGACAAATATTACTGAAAACATATTTTAAAAATATATATAAAGAAAAATATAATTTGTTTTAATGTTTTTAAATATTATTTTGTAGAATATCTTAGGCCCTCAGAGACAGGCTCGCCACTGGTAAAAATCTCTCATACACACATGTGAAAGGCTCTCACAGACACACACAACAGCGTTGCAGTCGGGAAGAAAAGCAATGTGGAGCAAGAGAGAGAGAGAGAGCACACCTTTATCTATTTAATAAAGTTGTAAAAAATAAAGTAAGAAATCATTCCAATGTGTACTATAGGACAGTAAAAAGTTTAAAAGGGGAGGGATTAGTCAAATATGCATAAATAAAAAGAAAGAATGCTAACTAGGTAACATAAGATAAGAATAAACCAGTTTAAATGATTTGTTGTTGGTTGTGATCATATTCTAAAGATGTTTGGATTATTGAAAAGTATACAGCTCCCTTTCATCTGAGTGTTGAGAGCTGTATCCATAAATTCATGTTGGGCTCAAAGTAGGGCTGCTCGATTATGGCAAAAATCATAATCTCGATTATTTGGGTCAATAATTGATATCACGATTATTAAAAACGATTAACCATTTACTTTGAAAACATCAATTTATTGAAGAAAATCATTTGAAAAGTATGTTTTTAACAGTTGATTACCCTGAACTTTAAGTATAACTCAACTGAAAAACCTATTTAAAAAAAATAAAATTGTTTTATTTCGATTATGTTGTTTTCATAATCGTTGCAAGCCAAAATCGTAATTGCGATTAAAATACGATTAATTTAGCAGCCCTAGCTCAAAGTGCACCAGATTGATGCATTTAACTTCAACATTTAAAAAAAATCTTCCTGGGGGTGCATGCCCCCGGACCCTAGAGGATGTGACGTCCACCACCAAATAAAGCAGGTTAAAATAATTAAATTGCATTAATATAGGCACGGCCAGTCTATTGATAGCGTGAAGTACAACCGCGTGACTCAGTCATTTTGTACCTTAAAAAGCATTTAAATACCGCATTTAAAATCTGATGAACTCAGTGTGCATCTGGACCCGGTGACGACATTACCTATTGACGCAGCAACCACTGTAAGCTATATTCTTGTTTAATTAGACTTCTCTGTTTCATTTATTCGACTCTGTATAAATTGTTATTGTAGCTTAAACGGCTAAATCGCGTTTGAGAGATTTTAAATCTCAGATCTGCTCAGGCGAAACCTGCTTTACAGGTCTCAGCACTCAAGCCTGCATTAATATAGGCACGGCCAGTCTATTGATAGCGTGAAGTACAACCGCGTGACTCAGTCATTTTGTACCTTAAAAAGCATTTAAATACCGCATTTAAAATCTGATGAACTCAGTGTGCATCTGGACCCGGTGACGACATTACCTATTGACGCAGCAACCACTGTAAGTTATATTCTTGTTTAATTCGACTTCTCTGTTTCATTTATTCGACTCTGTATAAATTGTTATTGTAGCTTTAACGGCTAAATCGCGTTTGAGAGATTTTAAATCTCAGATCTGCTCAGGCGAAACCTGCTTTACAGGTCTCAGCACCCAAGCCGAGCATTAATATAGGCACAGTCTATTGTCGCCCATCAGCTGTAGATAGTTAACTAATTAGAGGGCCGTGGCCCTACAGCTGTGTGAACTGAGCAATCAGGCGTCCATTTTTGGGTAGCTCTTTCCTGGAGCGTCAGCTTCAGCGTCAGACAGCCGAAGACTGACAAAGACATTGGAGTCCTGCGGGAGTAAGACTGACAAAGACATTGGAGTCCTGCGGGAGTCACGAGGGAGGCAAAGAGGAGGCAAATCCTACTCTGATTGAGCTGGTGTCTTATTTATCTTTTCTTTAGTTTTCTAGCCCCTCATGCTATAATCATGTGTATTTTCTCCATTCCTGTTCATGTGTCTTCTCGCAATTATCACTGGCCCCGTGTATCTCCTAATCGATATAACCGGCCTGCTCTCGTCTATCCCACGTGCTCCACTGAGATCCAACATCTAGTTTCTGGTGGCCTGTGGAATTGCCAGTCAGCTGTTTCTAAGGCTGACTTCATCTCTGGCTACGCCTCCCTGCAGTCTCTGGATTTCCTTGCTCTCACTGAGACCTGGATTACTCCATCCAACACATCCACCCCAGCAGCTCTCTCCACTGCATATTCCTTCTCCCATACACCCAGACCCACTGGCAGAGGAGGTGGCACTGGTCTCCTGCTCTCTCCCAAATGGAGCTTTTCCCTCTTCAAGCTACCTAACTTCACTCCTTCCACCTTTGAATTCCATGCCGTCACAGTAACCCATCCTATACAGTTAACCATTGTTGTTCTCTACCGTCCACCAGGCGCCTTGGGGGACTTCTTGGAGGAATTAGATAATCTCCTCTCACTCATCCCTGAAACTGGCCCTCCCGCTGTACTTCTCGGAGACTTCAACCTCCAGACGGGGAAGATAGACGAACTAACATCTCTGTTAACCGCCTTTGCTTTCTCACTGTCTCCGTCCCCACCGACTCATAAAGCTGGCAATGTCCTTGATCTCATATTCTCAAGGAACTGCTCTACTTCTAACCTCTCTGTAAACCCGCTCCACACATCCGATCACTTCTTCATTTCATTCTCTCTATCCCTTTCCAAACATAACAAACTAATCTCTTCCCATCCTGCACTTGTCCGCCGTAACCTTCGCTCCCTCTCCCCCTCTACCTTTGCCTCGTCGGTGCTCTCAGCCCTCCCTTCCTCTGATTCGTTCCATCTCCTGCCTCCAAACTCTGCTGCAGAAACTCTCCTCTCTACTCTCTCATCCACTCTGGACTCGCTCTGTCCTCTCACATCTCGGCAGGCTCGTCAGTCCCCTCCTGCTCCCTGGCTAAATGATGCACTGCGTGCTAATAGAACCGTCCTTAGGGCAGCAGAGCGGAAATGGTGGAAATCCAAACACCGTGACGACCTCCTAACCTATCAAGCTCTCCTCTCCTCTTTCTCTGCTTCGATCTCTCAGGCAAAAAGCACTTTCTTTCAAGATAAGATCCA